TTGATGATAACCGCTTGCCAAATCCAACGTGGAGAAGTATTTAGACGATCCAAGGGATTCTAGTATTTCTACTAAGTTAGGTAATCCGTATGCTTCGTTTTCAGTTACCTCGTTTAACTTCCTGAAATCGACGCATACCCGTAATTTCTCTTGTCCGTCGGTACCCGGTTTTTTTTTAACTACCACTAGTGGAAAATTAAAAGGTGAAATTGAATTTTTTATGATGTTGCTTTTTTTCATATCACTGATCTGTTTCTCGATTTCCTCTTGATACGCCCACGGTAGTCTGTATGGTCGAATGTTAATAGGTTTTACGCAGCGTGGCGTGTTTATATAATGCTTAACCACGTCTGTTGTGTTTAGACAATCACCTTCTAAAAAAAACACATCCGAATACTTATTGCATAAATCTATAATACTGTCACGTTCCTCGATGTTTAGGTCATCAGTTTTGATAGCTTTATTTAGTAATTGAATACGATTCGTTGTGCCCTTGACATGCTTTGTGTTCTGCGTTTGCTCGTCACGATCGCTATTAATGAAATATACGTGATCGGAGTACGGTTCCCATTGTAAATTTTCGGTGGACAACTCGTCGATCACGAACGGTTGCTCCGAGATATTAATTATATTACTTACGATTTTATTTCCGTGCACGGGACTGAGGCTATTGGCAATTATCACGTCTTCATTTATTTCTTGTTTTTGAATTGTAATAACTTCATGGCCTACTGCTTCCTCTGCGTTTATTGTTACAATACAGTTGCTCCGTGGTGGTATTATAATACTTTGGTCATTTTTGATCGAGTAAGGAATCCTTAGTAACTTATTTTCAAAATCTATGTGCATTGATCCCCGTTCCAAAAATTCATAACCTAATAAACCGTCCTGGCTTATTGGAAAATCGTCGAATATTATATCGAATCGAATTAAAAATTCTCGTCCTTCGATGCTAATAATCATATCGACAGTTCCTATGGTTTCTACTGGAAGTGAATTTATGCCTTTTAGATCCCCTTTGTTCTGTTCATTTATTATTAACTGTCCTTGTAACTTTGATATCTTAATAAGATTTTTGTTGGCACCCGTATCTATTAGAAAAGTTTGTTGATTATCGGTAAAATGGGTGGAGGCGCAGCTAATGGTTGGACCGTTTAGTGGACATAATGTTTCTCCCCTCTCCAATTTCTCTAAGTTATGGTTGCGTTGGGGTGGAACTATTTCCGAATCCCCTGCGATTACGCGAATATTATTGTTACTTTTATATTCGTCTACGGACCGGTTCCCTTGCGCTTCATTAGAACTATTTCCTTGTTTCCTTTTTTGTTCATTGTAAATTCGTTTTCTACATTCGCTTATGTCGTGGTTTGGTTTTTTACAATATTTGCACACCTTAATGTTCCCGGTATTTTCTTGTTTAACCTCAGTTTTAAAATCACGATCATAAGTTGGGTTACGATAATTTGGTACTTTATGTGTGCTCGTACGGCATTCATTCGCGTAGTGCCCTATTTTTTCACAACGATTGCATTTAATATTTTTTTTCCTCGTATCCCTATAGTTATTTGTTGACGGTGGTTGTTCGGAATAAAACGATTTTTCCTCTTCGATGGCTATAAAAACCGCCTCCTCAAGGCGAGTTACCTGTCGAGCTTTTAGGATAATTCGAATGGAATATGATACTCCCGAGATAAACACGTTTAATGCGTGTCCTTGTATCGTTTTAGCAATAATAGCTGCTTCCTCTGCAGTTTTATTCATAGTTGAGACATGCGTAAGCTCATTGTAAGCTTTTTCGATTCTCCCGGAAAAACTAGCAATAGATTCATTTCTATTCTGTCTTATAGAATTTAATTGATTTTGCAGAAATGTGGCTGAATGTGATGCGCCAAAAATAGTTCGAAAATGACTCTTAAGTTCCTCCCATGAAGTTATTTCCCTATATCTAACGGCTTCAAAAGCTTTCCCTTTTAATTCGGATAAAATTCCTTTTAATATTTTAGGTTTGTTAGCGTCTATTACGTTTTCTAATAAAAATTCGCATTTTTGTTCGAATGATTTTAGCTCAGATTCACTACCCCCCTCGAAGCTTGGGATAGATTTTACGGCGCTACCTAGACTAATTGTATCTGCGATTGCCATTTTTATTCTTAAATTTTCTGGGTTATAGTCAATTATTTTCCAATCTACACTCGGACTTGACGTCATGCAATCAATATATAATTCAAGTAACTTACAATTGTTGCGTGTACATTTGTGCTGGCGTGATGGAAGACCTCTGGAAATTCGCCACGATAGCTTGATTGGAACAAACTGTTCGTGTGACCAAGTTCACCTGGAATTTGGGTTTGATGTTGGTCGAGAAAAAAAAACTCGGCAGCTGGTCCGTCGGTGGGCCTCAAGTCGTTGGAATTTGACCTGATGGTTGAAACAGCACCCCACACCTGACACCAAATTTGTAGTGCACAGCCCTGCCACTGCTGTGAACAACGTTTCTTTTACGACGGTGCAGCTCCGTTGTTTACGACCGATGGTTGAAAGGAAAAGGTTATTTTAAATAATATAATACAACACTTTGAATTTCGTTAAAGAATGGTATAATAATATTGATTAGTAAAATAATAAAAATTAAATTAGTTATTTGATTAAAAGCATGGACACGACGACAATAAACACTCCGTAGGAGTCCGCGTGTCCGTAGTGAGTACTTACAGTAATAACTTAAGTCTAAATTACATTGCATAAAACACCTATATTTATATAAACATTCAATGTCATATTTAAGGCTACGTGCTTTTGAATAAGGAATAAATAGTGCTACGTGATACATGATTAAGGAAAGAGTCGTTAAAGAGTTGACCAATACTATTAATACGTGAGCATTTTCGTTAGTAGGTAACAAGGTAACGAAAGTGCGAACACTTAGAATATCAATGAATACGTGTCACCTTGAGGTTTACTACAAGGGGCTAGAGTCCTAGAAAACCCAAGTCCAAGATAATTTGTGGGGGGCTTTGCCCCCCACACCCCCCCCCTCCAAGCATCCCTAGCATTTAGTAATCACAAGTCCTCTAAAATCAAAATTTAAAATAAACCATAGAATCAAAGTATAACCTAGTCAATAAAAACAAATTTACATTATAATTTATAACTGTATACGCCTATATTTTGATGAAAACAGTTTTAAAAAATCGTATCACCTCAATTGTTTGTATATCTGGTAAGACTTTCATTGATGATTGGTTTTTTGGTGCATCATTATTATTTTTCTTAGCACTACTTGCTTTTGATTCAAATATGCTGAACATTTTAATAAATAGGTAATGGGTAAATTCAATAAATTTAACATATACGCAAAAAAAAATAGTTGTTACTGAGACACTGTCTAGTACACTAATTATACCAGTAAATAGTAATACCTATTCGCAGTCTGCACAGACGCATGTCGCATAGTGCTTGTAAATTGAGAATTGTTAGAAAATATTATATAATAGTACTATAATCACTAACCAGTAACTGCTGTACGATATAACTAATATGACTATACAAAAATACGCTAATACGGGTAGGTACTAGGTACCCATTTAAAGATAACAAATATAATAAGTGGGTTTTGGTCTTCGGGACATACAATACAATCCTATAAATAAAATACTTTGTGTAAAACTTTTAACTGATAAACAATCATAATTCATAATAAGTCTCATACCCGCGTCGTACATTCAATAGTTAATGTACCATATTTAGCCATATGTGAACAATACCTAATAATTTATATATTGTGATATGTCATTACTCATTAGTATTTATTGACTCAATACAATACGTCAAGACAATTTCTTCCGCTATAACTATAGGTAACCAATTACTTATAAATTTGTTTTTGGTACATCCACAATAAAACAATATCAATATGTATAAAATATTAATTATTAATTATGACTATTATGAGTTATGAGTTATGACATATGAGTTATTTTAAACATTTTTTTTCTTTTTTTTTCGGATTTGGGTTTTAGCTACAGGCTCGATTTGAGGCTAAAATGTAAAACCTTCTAGGGGGGCTAAATACAACTGCAGGGGGGCTAAGCCCCCCCTAGCCCCCCCCCCCTATTTACGCCGATGTCTCAATGACATATAATCATAATTTATAGTTCAGTAGAGCGCGCGACCGTTTGACGACATCGTCTGTTAAACTTGTACAATATAATATTATGCAAAAGTTTTGAAGACGACTCTTGTGACTTGAAAGAGTTTCTAATAGCGATTGCTTACCTATTACAAGTTACAGTTTTAATTTTAAATATTTCCGTTGTTAATTTCGTATATCATACCTAAACAACATTTTTTTTTTTTTTATAATTTATTACGTTTATAAAAATTACTTATTAATTAGTACCTAATATACTATTTGACCTTATGTAGCTCGTCATCTGAGAGTCGCTGAAGGTCTAAGATATCTAGACTGCTTTTTATCCTCGAAACCAAATAATATAATAAATTATAACAATACGAACACGTGCCCGATGATCACTGTCGTCGCGGTGTTCCTTCTGCAGGTATTCAATATCCATCGGCGATTTGATATGCACACCGTGCAGCCTGGTTGCATATTACAATAATATTACAGCCTGAGGGAGGTATATTGTCTTTTGGGCGTCCGATGACAATACAAACCTGCTGCGCATTGTAACTCAAAATCGTATAATACGATGTTTATAATACCTGCTCTATTATAGTATTATACGATGATGGCAGCGAATAATATGCGATATGCACGATGCGTTGACGGTATTTACAGTTAGGGCGGGAGACGATATTATTATGATATAATAATAGTTATCCTGCTACATGGTAATTTATTATATATAGTGCCAGTCGGTGGTTATTATAAATGAACCATCGCTTCGTCTCAACGATTTTGTTCACCGAGTGCTGCTGAAGCTGTCTTCAATAAAAAAAATCGATAAGTCGTCGAGGGAAAAATCGATCTTTTAAACATGATTAATTTATTATCGGTAAGGATCGTTATTATATACATATTATTACTTTTATTATATTATTCACTCGTATTCAGTCATACTTCATAATATTATTGTCTTTATAATCAATACTATTGGTCCGTGTAATAGTTAAATTGTTAATAAATAATAACTGTTGTACCTACACTAGTCCATCACGCGTAGAAGTAAAGTAAGACACGAGGTGATCCATTTAACGCAAGACTCTCATTATTTCAGAAAACACTACAGACTTCGAAAATATTTATTTTTTAATTATTTCAAACTATTACTACATTTTTGGAAAAAATTATATTTTTCACTATTTTTTGAGTTTTACTTTTTTGAATAACAATTTATTTATCTAGTCTTTTAATTTCATATTCCGAAGTAAAATATTAATTGGAGTATTTCAATCTATAAAATCAAATTTCAGATTCAAGTAGTTAATTTAAGTTTAGATGAATGTAGTTCAGGACCAACATTTTGTTGGGTACCCTCTTATACCGCAACACTCAGCTCAACTAAACTTATAACTCATAAGCTAATCGTTTGAAATTCGATTTTTATATATCCAAGTACTTAAAAAAATATTGTTTTTTAACAAGGAATATGTTTAACATATTTCATTAAAAATGCTATGAAATTCAAAAAATATATCTGATAGTAAAAATCATAACTTTTTTAGAAGAAAGTTTGTTTTTTATTGATTTCAATTATGTAGACAGTTTTTTTCTAAAACGTAAAAAGTTTTTGAAATAATTTGTGCCTTTCTTTAAATAGATCAACCTGTATAATATACCTAATGTATTGTAGATTTTTAAATTTGTACCTTGAAAATTTAATACAAATTTTATGATTATATTCCAATAAGTAATAACTAATAGTAAAAATAATAACCAGTATATTTTAGTTCTCTCGTAAACTGACTTCTGCCCATTGTGAAAATGTAGAAATTCAACTTGAACACCCTATTTCCTAAACGTACGTCATTAGTCATTACTAAGAAATAACGACTTTTGCTACTATTATTTCTAAATAAACCATCTATTATACTGTTATATAATATGTCTCCCTCGGCATAGTACATATACACGATTTAATATAATAATATAATACAAAGATAATAGCACCATAATATAATATCATCATAGTATACAGAAACGGAAAAATATATCAAACATTATAAAAATTGTTATAACAATAATTGTCTCCAGGGCACAAAAAAACATTAGCCAGTAATAATGATGATGTATTTTATCAAATAATGATACTAATAAATAAATAATTTTAACGACAACCGTGACCGTATTCAATACATAGGTAATAATATTATTATTCTCAATCAAAAAAATCGTTCATTACAGATATTTTTTTTAAAGGATCGCCAGTAAAGTAGTTTCTATATTATGAAAAAACACACACCGTCATTATGTTTTAGTCAAAGACTATTAATAAACTCAAAAAAAATATTATTTTTAAAGCGTGAGCCCCAGCTACAGGATATGACTTATAAATCTGTAATTATTTTATTATTTTATTTATTAAATTAAAATTTGTCAGTATATCACGTCATGCTATGACAAGTCTTATATCTAATTACAATGATGAGAGTATATACATGGTGTATTAATTAAGTTAGCTATTTTGATTAATGGTAAGAATTGTAAATTAGATCTTTATCTGTGCTAGTAAGGTAACATAAATCTGTAAATAATAATGCAATAGGATATTATATTATTTAAAAAAAATCTTTAACTTTTGACGTTTTAACGACCTTCCACTAAGATCGATTAACTTCTTGCACGTGGTATGCTTTTCAATGGATGGCTTGTATTAATACGTACCTACGGGTGAAATATCATTATCCACGTGAGTTACTAGTTACTACCTCCTGCTCACCGACACAATAGCCAATTCATAATTATTATTTATTTACGTACCACAGCACCAAGGTTTATAGATTATACAGGTTGCCTCATAGTCATGTAAACAAAACGTTTCCCCCCGTACCGTTCCTCGTCTACTGACGTCATTGCCGGAACAATCGACTGCCGTAGTGCGGTACAATGTATCATTTACTTATTTTCAACAGTATAATAATTAATAAAATCATTTTTTACATACTTTCTTTTGATTTTGATAACTTAATTATTAAGGAATTATTCATTTGATTTACCAGCTATTTAATTATATAATAAATAATAATTATCGAATATAATATATTTATTTTTAATACAGTGTAAAATCAGTAACTCGAAGCTCACGGCCCACTGGGGGAAAAAAGTCCGAATTATTAAAAATTTCGAGTTTTCAAAACCTTAATGTGTTATTATGTTACTTGAAGGGGAATTTTATTTGTTCGAGATCTCGAGAATTTCTAGTTATCAAGGTTCAAGTTACCTATTGAGAGTACACTGTATACCACAAATAGCTCCTACTATTTAACTAACAGCTATGTTCAGCATGCAATAGGTATATCATTTGGTAGTAAAATAATATGGTAAAAATACTTACAGAAGTTAGTAAAACTACAAAAAGTTCAAACATAATATGTCGTAGGTACCTATTTTGTATTTTTACATGATAAATAAAATTTAACAAAACTAAAATTTGATAAAAACGATTGATCTATTTTTTCTTTCAACAAATATTAATTTGAAGATAGAAAAATCAACTTTCTAAAAAATATTTTACACTTATCTTGCATAATACCAATTGTAATTGACCAATAAATAAAAATGTTGTGCAGGTACAATTAGAAAACTATCAATAAGTAAATAAAGATGACAACCAAGAAACCAATCTGCAAGTTGTGTACATACATTTTTAATATTCTTTCATATAAATACAAATATAACAATATAATATAATTCATAATATAATAAAATAATAATAATATAATTATTAGTGAATCACTCTGTATACATTTCAAGTCATAAGTTTTCTCAACTTTTGTAGTTTTTGTAACTGTAACTTTGCTTTTCTTTTTGAAGCTAAAATTTGATGATTTTTATTTGCATACTTCATACGAATAAAGATCCTTTGCCTTACAAATGTATGTATAACTGGTCTATACTTTTCTTCAATACCCATTCTATTCATTATTTTATGTAAAAGTAGTTTTACTACACCTGGTCCTTTAGGGATTTTCTGCTTGGTAATTTTTTTAAAAACTCTTTCAGCTCTAAAAATGTGTTTTTTAAAGTTATTACTAGGGACTATTAGGCCATCATATGATATTATATTATTATAATATCATATTATTAATTAATCGCCAATTACGTCTAAATTATAGAAATTAAGCATAACGTTAACGCATAAACCATGTGTTTTGCGGTGTGTGCCGGTGTTCGTGTTCCGGCAGTGACGTCATGAGCGTTATTCCCCCCACTCTCATTTTTTCGTAAATTCAGAAGTGAGGCAACCTGTATAATCTATAAACCTTGCCACAGCACGGCCGCACGGGCTATCCTAGTATTCATTTATTTATTTAAACTAACGAACTTATGTCCAATATACAATATAATTATAATACAATTTTGATAAAAAATAAGATATACAGTTACTGCTACTTTTTTTAATAATAATAACAGTTTAGTTAAAATAATATATTGTAAAAGCTGTATGAAGTTTAAAATAAATGAAATAAAAAACACACATCATTGTAAAAACAATACATTCATCATTATCCACTCAGAATCTAAGAGATAAATCAATTTAAAACGTAAAAAAAAAAATAATTAAAAAAGGTGCTCTGCTGTACAGTAGGTTACAAGTGGGTCACCTTATAATGGATGGTATTAAACTTGAATTCAATGATATTTTATCATTGTATAAGAAAAACGATTCTGAGTGGAAACGGTTTGTCAGTATAGATATTTTATGTTGTCATTAACTATTATATCATGTAAGTTGAATTAATATTATAATAGGTATTATTATTTTTTATTCGTTTCTATGGTAATAAACAAAGCGTTAGAAATTAAAATCCAATTCTTAGCGGTTTTTCGTAATTTTTCGGTGGTTTTTACAGTGGCATTAAATAACTATTGATAAAATCGAAAAATTACCTCTCTAAAGTACCATCTTGATCCAATTTGCTAAAAGATAAGATACTATATGTGAAAATCGAAGGATTCCTTCTGGAAGAAATTTTGTATACAGGATATAAAAAAAATAAATAAATAAATAAACACCTTTGTAAAACCACTAGCTTCCTCGCTCCGCTCAGAATCAAAAATAATAGCTAAAAATTATAATACACCTATAAAGTTAAGAGGGCGAATGTAAGTTCCCACACGAGATATAGCAGGTAAAAATTATCCCTGGATATCCATACGTAAGTTCCCACACGAAAAAAATTACACTTGTACGTAAGTTCCCACACGAAATTTCAGACACATAATAATGTTTATATAAATTGTTTATAATTTTAACTTTTAATTCGTTAATGCTCAGCCTTGCCAAACACAAACTTCCTTCCCACTTTATTCAGACTTAGGACTGACAACTTAAACGTAGTTGGTGTGGTTAAAATTTGTTTTTTTTTTGTATTGCATAAAAAAAGTCCAATTGAATCTAGTCCGTATAATATATAATAAAAATTAATAATATAATGTGTATAATATTTGTATATGTATAAAATAAAAATAATAATAGAAAAAATCAAATTGTATTAGGTTTATTGCGATAGCTCAAACACTATATTGTAAAGTGTTATTAGATCAAACAAAATGTGATTTTAGATTCTGAGTGAAACGATGAATGTATTGATTTTACAATGATGTGTGTTTTTTTTTTTATTTTTTATTTTTTTTTTTTATATTTATTTTTTTTGTGTCTGTGTACACGATAAGTAGTCGAAATAATGCTTCGATTTTCGACTTCAGTATCTTGTTCGATTGGAAAGTGAATATCGTTGGTGCATTGGGGAGGTCAAAATTTAAATTTCCCAGTAGTTTTCAAGAGCGCCGGGAAAAACAACATAAAAATTAAGGAAAAACGGGAATTTTTACGCAAAATCGGTTTTCCAAAAATCGATTCTGGTTTTTGGTGTAACTTTAAAACAAATGACCGTAGATACATGAAATTTTCACTGGTTGTTTATATTTGCATTTTCAATACACGATAACATTTTTAAAATATTTTGATTTATTTTGAACTGTTTAGGGACATTTTCATTTTCCATTTTTTTTTAGTTTTTTTTCTAAAAATATCAATAAAATTTTATTTGTTGGTTGCGAAAGCTTGAAAATTTAATAGAAGGCTCCTAATATGTTGTTTCAAAGGCAGATGAAAAATATTAAAAATCCTTAGTCACAATTTTTTTTTATAAGCATTTAAAGTTCAAAAATTGACAAAATATGGAAAAATCACGAAAATTAGCAAATTATTTTGAGTTAAGAATTCGTAAAAATTTTTCTTTTAAATCTAAGATTTGAAAATCTAATACAAGATTACTCATAAGATTGTCTACCTTTATCAATAAAAAAATTTCTACCGGAAAGTCAAATTAAATTTTTATGAGCGTTTGAAATTCAAATTTTTACAACATTGGATATTCACTCGATTTCTCATGTGGCAATTTCCGTTTTTTGTTGTAATTAAAAAACGAATTACTGTAGATAGATGAAAATTTCACTGAATGTTTATATTAGCATTTCCTATACACCCTACAATTTTGAAAATATTTTGACACTTTTTGTGCCGTTTACGGACATTTTCAGTTTTCAATTTTTTTAGTTTTTTTTTTCTATAAATATCAATTAAGTTTTATCTGTTGGGCCAAAAAGTGTAAAAATTTAATACAAGGCTCCTGATATATTGTTACAATATCAGTTGAAAAATATTAAAAATACATAGGCACAATTTTTTTTTATAAGCATTTTAACATCGAATTTTGATAGAATTTTTCAAAATCTCGAAAATTATTAATCATCGTAATTAATAAATTATAAAATGTTCAGTTTTTATAGCTAAGGATTGAAAATTTAAAACAAGATTCCACGTAAGTAGTTAATTCTCTTACCGAAAAATCTAAAAAATATACAATCACAGTTTATTTTTATAGTCATTTTATGTTCAAATTTGGACGAAATTACATATTAAAAAACCTAGTTATTTTGTTGTGATTATATAATTTTATTCGTGGGTACCTACTTGAAACTTCTAAAGTGTACTATTATATATATATGATAGTATCAGGGTTTGTTGTTGGTGTATAACGTGTTATAAGTACCTAATGGATATTGTGATATGATTAATTTGGAATTTATTTTAGGTCAATTTTTTTTTTAATCCCATAGATATGTATATAATTTGTCTTAAACCTAGACTAACATACCGTCTTCGCTCAGAATCGTTTTTCTTATACAATGATATTGTATCATTGAATTCAAATTTAAAAGCATCCATTATACAGTGACCCACTTGTAACCTACTGTACAGCAGAGCGACATCCACTTACCCACCTTTTTTCTATTATTATTATTTATTTTATAGGTACCTATACAAATAATGTGTGGAAGAAGAAAAACAAAATAAAATATCAGATTGACTATGTGACTTTTGACTATGTGAAGTGTTTGAGCTTTCGAAATAAACCAAATAAAATTTGATTTTTTTCTATTATTATTATTATTATTATTTTATACCTAAAAAAATTTCGTTTAAGTTGTCATTCCTAAGTCTTACTAACTTAACTTACGTACAGGTGTAATTTTTTCCGTGTGGGAACTTACGTACGGGCGTATTTTTTTTCGTGTGGGAACTTACATATGTACTCGCTTACCTGCTATGTTTCGTGTGGGAACTTACCAAACCCCAGTTAAGAATGCAATAACAAAACCATAGCTACTCGATGTTTTTCCTTTACTCGTCGTCTTTGTTAATAAGGACAACCATCATGATAACAAAAACCTTGTGAAAAATCGGCTAGAAACAATATTTATGTTAATATAAAATATATAGATGAAATATTATTTTTAATTATGTTTGAACTGATTTCATAATTACGATAAAATATATTTTGATAACCAATAACACGTACCTAATATAATATAGTAATAAATTAGGGATTATATTATATGAACTCAATTTTAATTATGTATTTACTTTGCGAGTGAAAATTATTGGATAAATTTTAAAAAACAACAATTTATGTTTTCAAAAACCATCGCTCTAATGAATTTAAAAAATATATTATATTATTACCATTTATCATTATATTGTTGAAATTTGAACATTAAATAAAATAATATTTTAGAGTAAATAACTAATTTTATAGTTTCAACTAGTTTTATTATGTAATTGATTGAAAGCCCGGCTAGGATAAGCGAGTATCTAAAAACCATACAAAGTTATTCATGCATATTTTATAGTAAAGTTTTCTGAGAAATTCCTCACGTTATTAAAGTTCACGTTTGCATGGTCACATTGTCAACGAGCTACATTATTTTATAATATTGCGTTCGACCTACCTAATAACGTGACTTATGAGTGGTTTCACCACGTGAAAATGCTTAATAGTTAATAATAATTGAATAAATATAAATAGTCAAATAAATTAAATATACGTAGGTACATGAAATCTTATTAAATAGAGGTACCTATAGTTATGTATTTTTATAATGAAGCAGATTTGAATCGATTAAAAAATACTTACATTTTTAATTACATAGTTTCAATTTACAATATAATTTTATAAAAAATAATATTGTTTTGAAAAATTATTCATAAAAAAAGGTTTATATATAAAAAAAATATAGGTAGTTCTCAAATGTTCATGTGTCTGTGTACTATGTAGTGTGTACACAATGTATTTGCATTTTATATTATTTTCAGTCAAGTGCCACTAGTGGGATGGCTTCTCATCGAGTACTCATATGTACTATAACTATTATAAGATGCAGCTTATTGTGCATCAACTGTACTGATTGTATTGTACCTATATTATTGTGTAAAATAAAAATAAAATAAATATTATTTTCATCAAAATTCTAACTCAAACGCTTTTACAAATTGAATGTGTATTACATACAACTTTTTAGATTCTGAGTGGAACGATGAATTTATTTTTTTTTTAATTCCACTAAGAACTATTATATTCAGAAAATGTTGCTATAAATATTTGGTGATTATTTCAAGTGTTTCCAAAATAATGAAATCTTCGTCCCATATTGATGTTTCATAAGTTTTCCCATTTTCCGTATTTGGAATTTGATTTCCAAAAATCACCCCAGAAGTTGAAGATCGAAACATTTTTATTACTCCAAAAAAAAATCACTGATCATTGTAAAACCAATACATTCATTACTCAGCCCAGAAAATTAAAAAATAAATATAACGAATAATTGTTTCAGACTCCCGCAGGTATATATTACGAAAACGAAACCCCTTTCTATATCACTTAACAATGTTCGGTAAAGTGTCGATTAACGCTAACCAACTGATAACAGATTTTATTTCAGACAGGTTCGGCCAGTTAAGTGTCCGTTAACTTTAACCGGACTTTGTAAGAACGGCTAAGGGCTGTGTTTTTAATAATAATATAATATGTAAACAAAATTCCCATAAGTTCTTCCTTAGCCCTAATAACTGATAACTGCGATAACTTATAATAAACAGTGGTTGAATCGGAGAGAAACGCGGGGACCTCTTCTTTTTTAAAAATATTTTTGCTTATAATCTTTACTGTAGCTCTTCTAATTTATAATTATATTCTATTATCAATAAAAAATTTAAATATTCAGATACTCAATTTTTGCATCGCCTTCGATTATTTTCCAATTTGCGCACTGTTCATAATATATATTTAGTTAGTATATACTAACGTTTCGTGATTTTATGAATTCATATATTTCAGCTATGTTTGTGGTTGACTACTGCGGTTTTGGTTGTTACTGGTCAATATTACATAAACCCGCAAGTGCAGGTTCCAATCAAACCGTATCCGTATCCGTATCAATATTATAAGGCACCCGCTCCAACCGAAATTGTAATTCCGCCGACTACACGATACCTGACCGGTTATGACGTCTTACACTCTTATGAACCTGTCGAAAAACACGGTTACAAGTATTCTTACTGAAAAGTTAGAATTAAAATAAACATAATATAGGTAAGTTACATATGCAATATTATAGTACCTACAGCTTGGATACTTACTTAACCTAAAAAAAAATATATAAGTTATATTAAATTTCGTGTGGAATATATTTTCGGTGTTAATATATTATATTATGATTAATTGATCACTTGTATGTTACAAAATATTAAGGAGGAAAAGGAGGGAAAAAACGTACGACCGCCAATAATAACGATAATATTACATTAGTACAGTTTACTTCATACTTGTAATATCTGTCAGTGCTTATGCTCTAGTAATGATGTACACACTATACAGAAGGTACTTCTGTAAGATGACAGAAATATTTTTATTTTAATGTCCAAAATGTTAACAATATTTGACCTACGGGAATAAAATATTAAAATATGCTCCGAACATTTTTTTTTGTTTTATGTGTGTTTTAAATGTGTCCAATATACTAATAGTTTATAGTAGAAATGCTTATAGTGGTAGTTTCTGTTTCTAATAATGATAACTTTTACCTTTACGTTTATAATAATATTATTTTGCAAGCAATTAGTTTTTTATTGTATTTATTGAAATATTTATTTTTATAACATAGTGTATGCTGTAGTTTGTATGTAATATATTATATTATATTAGTTTATGAAGAAGTGTATTAATAATTTTATAATTATTATAAACGTTCATATATTATATCTATTTATTTATTTAAAATGTAAATATTAAATATTGGAATATGCAAAATGTAAATTAATATTACAACGTTATAAGCTGTGTGCACCACGGTCCGTTAATATGAGTTTTTAATTTTTTATATAAAAGTCAGCTATAAAACAGTCCCTCACAAATTGTCTGTTCGAGTTTATCCGTGGTAACTAAAAACGGCGTAGCATACGCGCAAATATACTTACATAAATGTTATGCGAACACAGACATATTATTATTATCAACAAGTGTTATTTACTGTAAAAATGGATACGACGATAAACGGTATTAAACACAAATAGAATTAATACAATTATTATGTAATTTAGTATATCATTCTAAAAAAAAAAGTACATTTTAGGAAGCTGTCATTTTTATTTTAAATTATTTACCAAAAAAATAAAATACATTACGGCACAGAATATATTAATAAGTTTATGCATAAAAATACATAACACACACACAGTAGTAAAAAATGGATACTTCGAATTAAAATTGTTTTTATTCTTTTTCAGGACTACATATAATTATATTTTTTTTAGTAAATTAATTATTGTTTTATTTATAATATTGTTAAAATTATATTCAGTTTTAAGAAATACCAACAGGTACCTACGAGTAGTATGATACATAATATTATTAGATTCAAATGTACGTGTTTTATTTTAAATATTTACTGGATTTGAAAATAATATTAGGTACCTATCATAATATTTTTATAGATATCAAGTGTTCATTTTAGATTAAAATAACTTGAACCAAGCCAATATATTACATAATCGTGTTATATTATTTAAACCATTATTTTAACGCATACATTTATAAAAGTATCTTGATTCTTAGTTAAATAAGATGACAGGTACCTAATTTAATATTTTTTACTAAATACAAAAAAATTAACGAAATCAAGGCTCTTATCATTGAATAAAGGTATTTTGTGGTAGATTTTTAAAATGGACAAGTCAATAAAAATATTTATTTGGGTTAGTTACGTGAAATCAAGTTATAAGTTAATAGTTAACTAGCATTAAGCAATATAGTATATCCCTAAAAGTGCTAAGTTAAAATAGAGAAAATAACTTTCTTAAATCTGGTGAAATAAATAAATTTAGTTTTTAATTACTTCTAAATTCTGGGTAGGTAAATTTTAAGCACCATCATATTAAAGTTTTTTATTTAATTTTTTATTGAAACGATATTAAAACGTGAAGTTTTATTTTCGTTGCGGTCATCAATACAAATACATTTTTAGAAGAAAGTATTTTTTTTTCAAAAATTGATAAATCAAAAATATATGTAATTATTAATTAAGTTCCAATTTAATATTGCCAACATTATAATGGATTAGGCACTAAATGTATTACATATTATACAAGGCTCCTTCGAATTATTGAAGACATCCGACAATTGCAACAATATTGCCATGGATATTCAATGCATCATATATTCATATTGTACTTGTAAGTATACATAAATATTGAATAATCATTAAAAAACATCCAAATGTTCCAATTATTAATTATTGTTTTAAACAATATAAGTGTTTTTGATCAGTTGGAGTTAATGGGTTTATATAATATACCCACAACCCACAACTCATACCGCGACCGCGTCATACGGTCTTATATTACGATTGCCATTGATTATAATGTTCATAATAGTCAAAACGCGTTTATAAAATATTCGTCGAAAAAAACGTGTAGTTATACTCGCACAATAATATCTATGCTGTCATTTATAAGTTATTCAACAAATGCAAGTCGTAACTATACGTAAGTCGTAAGTATGTCCAAAATTCAAATCGACATTCATACGCCTTATGAGTAGTATACTACAGCTGCATTTTATAATACATTATATTAAAAAAAAACCTCGATTACCAGCAAACCATGAAGATTTTTCGACTTGTCAATGAAATTTTTTCTACGATACCTAACCATTTTAACATAAAATATAAAACGGAACACTGCTAATAGTATGCTGCTATCTAAAATTCTATGGTGGAGTTATTGCTTATTACCGTCCAATCTGTTTAATGACCGCACTGAGATGCATCATACGATTATCCGTATGTTGTGTTACTTTATAGTATTCGAAAATAATACAAATGAAGTAAATTTTAAAAATGTACGAACACGTATTCATGAGATATTTCAGTGCAGCTAGAGTATAGTTGGGTTTCAACATGAGTGCTCGATACACATCATTTGTTTTCATTTGTATTTTTTACTCATGTACTTGTTTTCGAAACGTCCTTATTACGTATATTACGCATATTAATTATTATGGATTAAACACAATAATGTAATAATATGTTTAAAATCTATATTATGTCTGCACAGTATAAAACGTATCGTAAATAATTAATTGTAAATAAATACAATAAGTACATAGGTACTCACATATTTCAGTAAAAAGTGTTACGATAATAATATAAAGTTTCAACATTACGAAACAAATACTTATGTACAAAACTATTATTTTGATTAAATAAAATATTATTGAAAATTCAAATAAAACAGTACAATATTGGTGACTTGGACTTGTGGATACCAGATTATCGATAGAAAAATAAATTGTTGAATTTGCTTAAACGAAGGTATAGACGTATAGTTAAATAGTTTTCAACATTTTAGGAGCCTACCTAGATGATACTGCAGTACATTTTTTAAATTTCAATGTTGAAATGATACGAGCTGCATATTGACAGCATGTTATGATCATCAGTTGCATATAGTACCTATTATTATGCACCTAAAGTGAGTCATACAATCAACGAAGTGATTAAAACTAATTTATGTTATATTAGTTGTTACAAAAATGACATAAACTAATTATACTGATTTCTATTTTATACTTTTATCGATAATAATAAAGCTAATTACTTACAATACATTTGCAGTGGTTGTACCTTGTACATGATGTTATGATATTATATTTGCATCCAGTGGCGTGGTGAGGGGGTTTTCCAGGGGCCGCGGCCCCTATTGGTTATTAGGTGGGTGGGTGGGTAGGTTACTGGGTGTCATTGTGTCAGTAAAAATTGGGGTAAAAATATTTAATAAATAAGAGGTAGGTTTCGTTATGAGCATGTATTGTCATTTGTCGGCTTGTCGCTTACAGGACAAGTTACAACATTATTGATAATGTTATAAAAATGATTAATCTGTATCAAAAATATTCGAATATTATTGCAGATTGCACTATTGCAGTAGTGCAGTACAGTGGTACACGTTCGTACATTTTATCAATAATTGTTATTATTTCTTAATTCATCTTAACCGTTGTAGACTCCACGGACTAAGATAATATATATTTAGCCCGGGGTAGACGTAAATACGTAATACTTAAACAAAATGTCAATACGATACGGGTACTGCACCAGTGCGGCAGTGCACCACTACCCGCCCCCACCGCACTACGTGGTGATAAGGTACCAGCAGTGTATATTAGGTATTTATTCTTAGAAATTTGTTTTCCTGAAGCTAACCAGCCAGCAGCGACCTATCTATTGCCTTAATGCCTTCACGATAATCATTAGGATTTACGACAACGATCTAACCTAAAATCGCTTATCGGTGATATCATGTGAAAAAGATTTGACAAATTCTATTAACATTGATGAAGCGATAGATAAGTTAGCGTTAACAAGTGATGTAATGAAGAAGTCATAACTTTTTAAATAATTAAATATTATTTGTTAAACATTTTATGTATGCATAAATGTTATTTTAGATTCTGAGCGGAGCGATGAATGTATTGGTTTTACAATGATGTATGTTTTTATATTTATTTTTTTTGTGTGTGTACACGATAAATAGTCGAAATAATGCTTCGATTTTCGACTTCAGTATCTTGTTCGATTAGAAAGTGAATATCGTTGGTGCATTGGGGAGGTCAAAATTTAAATTTCCCAGTAGTTTTCAAGAGCGCCGGGAAAAACAACATAAAAATTAAGGAAAAACGGGAATTTTTACGCAAAATCGGTTTTCCAAAAAATCGATTTTGGTTTTTGGTGTAACTTTAAAACAAATAACCGTAGATACATGAAATTTTCAGTGGTTGTTTATATTTGCATTTTCTATATACGATAACATTTTCAAAATATTTTGATTTATTTTGAACTGTTTAGGGACATTTTCATTTTTCATTTTTTTTTAGTTTATTTTCTAGAAATATCGATAAAATTTTATTTGTTGGTTAAAAAAACTTGAAAATTTAATAGAAGGCTCCTACTAAATTGTTTCAAAGGCAGATGAAAAATATTAAAAATCGTTAGTCACAGTTTTTTT